TTGGACTTTAAGCCTGAGTCCTCACACTGGCATAAACACACTGAAATTTTCATCTGACCACTACTTAAGGTGGGACCCAGTGATCCAGCAGTGGTGGAGGGGAGTTGGAGAAAGCCATTTAGCTGTGTATATGGAGGTGGTGCGCAGTGGCACGCTTGTTCTCTAAGTCTTCAGCTGCTTGCTGCATCTTTGCTTTGCTTTCTTTGAAAACTGAAATGCCCTCAGTGAAAACCAGCCTATCCTTAAGTCCTATGGCTCTAAAAAGCTGAAAATCTGCACAGTGGCAATGAATCATAGGACGTAAGATAAAACTGGCAGTATTGGTGCTAGGCTTTGAAGTGGTTAAAATTTGGGCCAGTGTATCTAAGTGGTGTTTTGTAGCAGACAAGATGGTGACACAGTCACGGTCATCACGGTCTCTTTATAGCTAGCACAATGCTGCTAAACTTCCAACCTTGCAGAAAATGATGTGCAGAACTCTGCCTGACTTTCACTAGAGATTTAGCCTTACACAACCTTGCTGAAGTCAATGAAGCCATGCAGAGGAGAGCTGCTCAGGTGCACTTACTTGCTTTAATGCTGGAAAATGACAGCGGGGGAAAGCTGGTAGGCAGCTTAAAAAGAAAAAAGAAAAAAAAGCCCAAATTGTGGGGCTCTGGGATGGGGGAGAGGAAGAAATTGATGGAAGGAGCTGGTTGGGAGAAGAAAAACATGCATGCGGGAGCTTGGCTGGGGACTGTCAATTGGTAGCTGGGTCTGAACACCAGCTGCATAAAAGATAATTGAAGAGCCTGCCCAGATATTGCTGGGGTGGAAGGCAGAGGGAACGGTACAGAGCTGAGCACTGTGCTGGCCTGCCCTTCTTGAAGGGCAGTGGGTTTCCCTGGATAATGCCCTGCTCTTCTCTGCGCTTGAAGTATGCAGAGCTCAAGTTCTTTGCCAATGTAGGAAGGGGCAGTCACATAAAAGGGTAGGAAAAGCGAAGTTACATAACAGTATGGAACTGGTGGCCAAATGCAGGTGAAAGAGACTAGAGCTGCTATAGAGATGTAATGCTGAGAGACAAGAGGCATGGAGTTGCTTATGTTGGAGAGTGCGAAGGGGAAAAAGGAGATATTGGGGAGGATGGCATACAATAGGAAACTTAATCATTTTTCTCTAGAGGAAAAAGGATGAGAATGTTTAAAACCTCTTTGAATTTTACATCTTTGATTCAGCAGCTTGCAGAGTTATCCTGCATAAGTTGCACAGTTCCATATGTAAGAATGAGAGAGGACTAATGGGGGGGAGGGAAGTAAGGCTTCTTGTACCCAGAAATCTGTGAAGTAGGCAGTAGCAGCAGAAGTAGCTTGCATAGTCCTCGTGCAGAATGAAGGAAGTGCTGCTGGGGTTTCTGGGCAGTCCTGGGAGCCCCTTTCTTTAATGCTCTTAAGCATCCCTTCCCTCTTTTGACTCCTAGGATTTAGTTAAATGCCTAATTGCTTTTAGCAGCCCTGAAATGTGTGGGCTTGAAATGTGTGTGCCAACTTTGGTGGCTGCTTCAGATGGAGACAAGTAATAAAAATTTCTCTAAAAAATAATAATTAAAAAATAAAAAAAAAAATCAGAAAAAAACACTAAAGGCCAAATAAAAGCTTTGAAATCTTCATTTCCTATGTCAGTATTTGTTTTTGGGGCAGCAGCTTTTGCTGTGCTGCGGTAGCACACTGCAGTCCTGGAATCCCAGTGATTAGAAACATGCCTGACCAGCGGACAGATGGTGAATGTTTTAGAATTGTCCATTTAACCCAAGGCAGCCCCACCGAATGCTTTTTAGCTCTTATATGTATATTATTTGAATGTGTGATATCTTTGGCCTTTCCACAGTGTGCATGAATTACTTGCTTCCTATTGATGAAGCCGAGTGCATCTCGAGCGCCTGTTAACTTGCCTGCAGTGGCGTACTGGAAATTTCTGATTCAGAAATAGGTCTTCTATAAATGATTTAACATCAGGCCATTGAAATGCATTTGTGTTTTCCTTCTTACAGCTATTAAAGACTTAGAGAAAACATTTAGCACCAAATTAATGTTGCATTTTTGTTTTAATCCTGCAGATGGGGTTGATTTATATTTCAAAAATATGTGCTGCAGAGAGGAATTAAAATGTTACACATTTTGTTCAGTTGTACTTAATATTTTTTTGCGCAAATATTTTCAGCTAGATGCTGTCATTTTAATGTGTTGTGTTTTCTTTTTCATTAACCGTTACGGTGCAACATTTCATCCTGCACGGTTTGTAGCTAGTTTGTATTCCTTTATTATTTGTAGGAATTGTTTGAGGTCTGCAATAATTGGGAAGCTGCAACCAGGCGGAAGGTGCCAAGGCTCTCTTCCCTTTCTCTCCTCAAGGAGAGATGGCAAAGCAGAGCTGTGGTAGGCTGCCTGCAGTCTCCTGGGTGAGGCAGACCCAGCTGTGCTGATTGGAAGAGAAAGAAATGGTGCACTCTCACATGCAGATAGGAAAGAGTGAGATGGGATTAGATGGCAGAGCAGAGATTTTATACAATAGCGATGGCTCTGATACAATCTCCTTGGTTCTCCCTTGAGGATTATGCAGAGGTGAGCAGCCTTAACTCATTAGTATTCCCCTTTCCTCTTGCTCTTTGGCTGCTTGAGATCTGATGGCAGGATTGCTTGGATTTGGGGTTCTGTTCTGGAGGGGCAGCATAGCCTGAAGCCTGAGATGTTAGGTGATATGGCTCTTGTTGCAACTGAGATGTGACCTCAACTCAATACTTGGTTCTTCCTCCTCATTGTTAATTGCTCTTAGGGAATGAAAGCAACCATTAGAATCACTGGATTTCATTGTTGAACAAAGGAGCTTTCTTCTACTTCCACTAACAGCGCTTGGAGCTGAGCTTAACTCTTGGACATGTGCTTAATTTTGTGAGTGAAGAGCATAATGGTTGCCTTTGAAAATTGATCTGAATTAAAGAAGTGTTTTTCTGAGGATTTTTGGTATGCTTTCAAGCATACCATCACAGTCTGCAAACATCAGTTCTGTGGAAGAAATGTCCATTAGATACCCTCTAAATGTCATAGGGAGTTGCACTGTATTCTGTGGACTTCCTTATACATCTCCACTTACTAAAACAGTTTGACCTCAGAAGTTTCCACTGCAAACTTTTTTCACTGAGCACTTCCCATACCTGCTTGGCATAGGATCGTTCAAACCTTCAGTTGCAAAGAGCAACAGTTACTGAGGTCATTGCAGCAGGGACCTACACCTCTGGTGGGAGAAGTGGAAAAGTGAAACGCCTCTTCCTCAAAGGGAATCTCTAGCTCGATAAAAAGATGACCTTGCATTTCTGTGGTTTCATGTCAAAAGAAACTGCTGCTCCCCAAAGTTAAGCATGAATCCTGCTCAGGTCTGCCTTGCTTTAGCCATAGGTATCTCCCTAGCTTCATCTGTGGTCCTGCCAGAGGGATGAATTGACAACAGAATAGGTCACAGCCTGTTTAAGCACAGAGATGTGTGGAGGATGAAATAAAGATGAGGAAAATTTCTCCAGGTGAGGTTCCTCGCGTAGGAGATGGGTGGTACCTGTGAGCTCTGCGCATCACAGCAAGTACATCTTTGGGTAAAACTGCTCAAGTCCATGCTCCTATCTCTCGGGTCAGGGAGGAAGGGTACATGTGGGAGAAAGAATTACGTATTTCTGCTGGTATTTATAACTTATTTGGGACTGTAGCATTGCATGAAGCTTTCATGCTACTTGTTGCTGTCGTATTCATATAAAATTTAAGAAAAACATTTCCCTGAAAAAAATGTCGTCATTATGTTGATTCTGAGGGTGTTCCCTGTCAGCTCTGCAGTAATGGTATCTGGGTTGAGAAGGCTCTCAACTTCATCTCAGGCACTATTCCTAATAAAATCTTGGCCTTTGGCCTTGGAAGGTGTTCAGCTTAGAATATAGCTATTACCTTGTATCGAAGCACCTTTAAATTACCTTCTGTGTCCACAGCTGTAATTAGAAGCAGGCAGTGGCACTGAGCAGAGGCTTAGGGAATTAAGCCCCTGTAGATGAGCAGTCCAGAAGTTGGTGAGAGGAACAGAACTGATATCGCTAGTTCTCCTGACTTCTCTACTGCATGTGGGTTAATCTAATTTCTTAAAGTGATACTGCACTTGTCAAAAGCAGAAGGGAAATGTTAATGTTGCATGTTCCTACTGTAGGCATTGTTGCAGTGCTGGACCAGGAAAAAGCATTCTTTTGAAGTGATTCAGTCTAGTGTGTGACCAAAATCAAAACAACAAAGTAGTTGTTACAACTGCCATAAACATCTGAGAGAAGATATCTTAAAAACCTGCCTAGTGTGTTCAGAACAGCTCAAGCTTTTCACGTTCCTGTCACCTTTTCTGTTGAAACTAATCTGCTCTTTTCGTGAACAGAGACTTCAGTAACTGGCACTCTTGGGAAGCAGAGTCACATTTACTTCGTACACCACTGCTGATTTTTATGGTGAACGGTTGACTGGGAGAGATCAGCTGGAGAAATGTGCTTGTCTTCATTGTACAGGGCAGTGATTTGAGGACGTGATAGAAAGGAACCTGGGGAAGCAGGGACAGATGGACTGTAAATGGCTTTTCACCTGTGTGTATGATAGGAAAAGGCCAACCTGTGGCCCCATCTGCTTTTGTTTTGTCATTTGGAGTGCTAGTGGAAAGACCTGGTGGTATGTTTTCTCACTTCTGAAAAGTCTGAACCAGAAGGTTTTAATTAGCATCTTTTTATATTTCTAACGGGTGTTTTATCTAATACATTTATGTATCAAGAGTATGTATCAAGCTTCCAGTATGGAAAACACTGCCAGATAAAACATTTTTTTCTCCATTAAGTTTTCTCCATTAAGCATCCTGCTATAAACCTCTGACTCCCAAGGTGATCTTCCATGGGAAAACTAAGATTTGGGGAAGTTGTAACTTTCAAAAAAGTAATGCTTATTCTCTTTACACAGTGGGAAGAAATCGGTGAGGTGGATGAAAACTATGCTCCGATACACACATACCAAGTATGCAAGGTAATGGAACAGAATCAGAACAACTGGCTTCTGACCAGCTGGATCTCTAATGAAGGGGCGTCCCGCATCTTCATTGAACTCAAATTCACCCTGAGGGACTGTAACAGCCTTCCAGGAGGACTTGGGACTTGCAAAGAGACTTTTAATATGTACTACTTTGAGTCAGATGATGAAGATGGGAGGAACATCAGAGAGAATCAGTACATCAAAATAGATACCATTGCTGCTGATGAGAGCTTCACAGAGTTAGACCTCGGTGACAGAGTCATGAAGTTGAACACAGAAGTGAGAGATGTTGGGCCTCTAACGAAAAAAGGATTTTACCTTGCTTTCCAGGATGTGGGTGCCTGCATTGCCCTGGTCTCTGTGCGTGTGTACTATAAGAAATGCCCATCAGTGATCCGCAACCTGGCACGCTTTCCAGATACCATCACAGGAGCTGATTCCTCACAGCTGCTAGAAGTGTCAGGCGTCTGTGTCAACCACTCAGTGACTGATGAGGCACCAAAGATGCACTGCAGTGCTGAGGGAGAATGGCTGGTGCCCATCGGGAAGTGCTTGTGCAAGGCAGGGTACGAGGAGAAGAACAACACCTGCCAAGGTAAGGGTTTGTAGGGGGTCATTGTGCTGAATTGGCCAGGATGATGTTCAGTCTTGGCTTTTTTCTCTTCCATTTTCTTTCATCACGTCTGGTTGAGGTGACTGTGGCAGATTGGGTTCCCTCTTCCACTGAGCTCCTTTGAATGGCTGTGGCAGGTGAAGAGGCCTTGGGTGGATATAGTGGGACCTCATATCTATGTACGTGTCTCTCCAGCGCTTTGAAATTTGTTTCCCATTTTGAGATGTTTTGTGTTTGTATTTAAAGGATGATTTTTTTCCTATTGCTCTTTGAGGTAGGGGCAAAGGTGATGGAACGTGGAAGGTTTGGTATTTTCTTCTCTGGTAAATAGTTTAATATAAAGCTGCTTAGAATTAAATGTGTAGTCCCACAGGCAAGAATGCTTCCATATATGCTCAAGTTTGCACATAAGCTTCTGAGTTTCTGTTCAGTACAGATCTGCTGAATCAGGGGCTTCGAGGAAGTGATCTAGGGTGTCTGAAGTTTAAAACTTAAATACTTTTTGAAAAGTGTAATGTACAATGAGGTGGTACAGAAAGTATGGTGTTTTGTATTGAATATTTGTAAAATTTGTCCTTCTATTGTAGATGTGTAACTGTTTAAAAGAAAACCTATTTTGGCGAGAAAGAGAAAAGTTTGGCACAGACTTGCTTTTGCAAAACTTAGAAGGAACCTGTGGAGAAGGCAGAAGGATTCTCTTCCAGCTGAAGACAGTGTTGTGTTTCCTCTTCACTTTGGTTCAGAAAGCTATCTTTGGCATTTACTGTTGGTGCATAGGATGGATCTGTGCCTGCCTGAAGTGACCTGTGGCCATGATCCTGTAGTCCTGTAGTACAAGTCTATTGTACTTCAGGTCTTCTCAAGAGTTAACTTATTGGTAAACTTTTTTTTTTTTTTTTTAAACTAGGAGAGTCTCTCTTTTCTGCTGTCAATATTGCAAAATGAGTTGTTTTGCTTTCACGTGCCAATAGGAGTATTTCTCCCGTGTGTGTGAAGATGTCTGACTTGCTGTTTGACACTGCGCAGGGGACCAGAGATGAACACTGACCAGAGCTGAGGAAACATACACTGTTGCAGATGAAGGAGATGTGCCAGATATTTTGGCAAGAATTTGCCTTGTTGTGGCAAAAACTAGTGCATCCTGAAATAACACGCGCTAATTGGGTCCAATGTTTAGACGCTGACTTGAATCACCTGTAAGAATTTTTGTGGAGTGAGAGAGAGTACATTCATTAATTGCTACTCAAATCCTGGCCTCTCACTGTGTGTAATCAGCATGAGACATTTTAAGGTGATCTTAAAGGACTTAAAAGCCAAAAAAAAAAAAAAAAAAAAAAAAAGCCTTGCTTTGGTAAGACATACCCACATAAACTGCTCTTATACTTCTCTGACAGTCTGCATCCTCAGCAAAGGTCTCTTATTTTAATTACACTGGACTGTTAGTCTATGGTTCTTATTTGTAGGAAAGCCTAAATTCCACCACCAGATCAATGAGATGTTGGGATCCCTCATCCTTATGGGTGATCTCAATCACCCAGATACCTGTTGGGAAAACAACAGGACAAGCTGCAAGTGATCCAGAAGACTTCTGGAGTCCATTGACAATGACTTCCTGGTTCAGGTGTTGGGCAGACTGACCAGAGGTGAAGGGCTGTTGGACCTGGTTTTCTCCAGTGCAGAGGAGATTGTTAAAAGCGTTAAGACTGGAGGCAGTCTGGGCTGCAGTGACCAGCCCTAGTTAAGTTCATGCTCTTGAGGAATGTAGGACTGGCAAAGAGTAGAGTTGGGATCCTGAACTTCAGCATAGTGAAGTTCAGGCCGTTTAAGGAATGGCTGGACAAGATATCCTGGGAAGCTGTCCTTAGAGACAAAGAAGTGGAACAAAGCTAGCTACTCCTTAAGTATGCCTTTCTGAAAGCGTAAGGGCTCCCCATCCTTCAGAATAAGAAAGCAGGATGAGGAGGCAGGAAACTGGCATGGTTTGGCAAGGACCTGCAGGTCAAACTGAGGGAGAAGGGCATATACAGGCAGTGGAAATGAGGACACGTCACCTGGGAAGAATATAGGGATGCTGTCTAAGGCACAGGGGGAACTGAACTTGACAAGGGATGTTAAAAACAACAAGAAGGGTTTCTATAGGTACATTGGTCAGAAGAGACAGACAAAAAAGAGCATAATTTCTCTGATAAATGAGAAAGGAAAACTGGCTGCAGTAGGTATGGAGAAGTTTGAGGTACTCAATGAATGCTTTGCCTTAGTTTTCACTGGTAGCCAGGATTTTCATATTTCTCATGTCCCTGAACCTCATGGTGGGAACTAGGAAGGCAAACTTCCCCCACTGCAATGGTAGGACCAGTATAAGACCACCTTATGAGACTGAATGTGTACACACCTCTGGGACGAGATAACTTGCATCCTAGAGTCCTAAGGAATCTGGCTGATGTGGTTGCCAAGCTGCTCTCTATGATATTTCAAAAGTTATGGCTGTCAGGTGAAGCTACCAGTGACTGGCAAAGTCAGTTTGAGGGCCCCATGTGGATGTCCTTTGTCTAACCCAGGTCATGATGCCAAATATCTCCTGCTGGTTGGCACACTAAGGTTTTCAGATGATAGAAGACATCAGCCTTAGGCTGTCCAGAATGTCTACATTCAGTACATTCAGAGTACATGCTGATGTTGTTTGTGAGTAAAATGCTTTCTGGTTGGGGTGTTGCTATACTCACAAGGATGAGCTTTTTTTATAGGAGAGTAAAGGAAATTTGCAGCCTGTTAGTAGGGTAAGTCACACTGAGGAAGATGCTATGTAAGTTTTGCTTTGATACTGGTGATTGTTTCACAGGCTGGCTCACATTTAAGAAATGCACACTATGCTCCTGGCTGACATAACGATAGTCTGGGAAGTGTGTTTTGTAAATCTGACAAATACCTAAGTAACTTCTTACCTTTGGTTTGTAAATCAATCGCAAGTGGTCTCCCCATTTGCTTTCTTTTACCATTAAGGAGGTTATTGCTGACTGTACTTCAGGAAATGTTTTCAACCCTGAAGAGCCTGGCTTTGTTTACTAAAATTTCTCATGCAAAGATGACATTTTCCAAGCTCTAGTGTCATGTCTGGACAAAGCAGACTACAGTCTAATAAGAGACGATGTAAATCCCAGTCACCTCACAGACATATGGGAACTATTGAAATCCCTTCTGCCTACAAATCATTAATTGGCAACGATGTTCTGAATTCATCATCTTGTCAGCAGGGTTCCTGTTTGAAGAAGGCACTGACAGTAACAGCTGAGCAATTTCTCTCACTGGGGACACTGAGGTTGTAAATATGACATGGCCTAATCTCCTTATATAATGTGCTTGCTCTCTCAATTAATAATGGCAACTAGGCAGTATTTACTGTAAAGAACCCAAACTACTCGTGTTTTACACCTCCTCTGACAACTATCAACAACTATGAGACAACTAGAGGTAAATTGTGACTGTTTTGGGACATGTTTATAAAGAACCTGGTTCTAAGGTTCGTTATTCACAAGAATAAATTGTGGTACTAGTTAACAATAAAAACTGAAAGCAATTGTTCTGAATTTCTATGCAGTCTTACAGAGCAGTGATTTGGTGCAACTGAAGGAACCGCGGTGATTGGCTTTACCTTGGTTCACCTGAATGGATCCTTTATCAATGCTCCTGAGCATTTTTGCTAGCTTGAAAATGCCTGGTGGTGGTCTCCTCATTAGCGGGCAGTAGGTTCCCAAAGGCCAGATCCTAAAATGCTGTGAAACCAATGTGGTGCCACTGAAGTCTGTGAGATCTTCACCCACTCAGGGTTTTGGACAAAGAAATGTATCGCTCCCGCCTTTGTTTCCCTCCTTCTGCTTTGTCTGGGGCAAGTGTGGTTGTAAATTCAGGGTTAGTTGCTTACCATCTGGGATTTGTGTTTTCATCCTGAGTACATCCCAATGTGTTCTTACCGAAAACCAAGAAGTGCTTATTTTTATCCCTTTAAAGACTCTGTAGCCCATTGTCCTGGAAAGAAAGGGATGCTGACCCATTGATCAGGTGAGACCTAAATACGCAGCGTTTGGTGCAGCAGCGAGGTCCTGGTGATGATATGGAGCCACAGAGCTGTAACTGCAGATGTAATTAGTTAGCAGAGCCTGATATTTTTTCAGCTGCCTTTCAGAGCTGAATCACAAATGAATAAAATATTTGAGTTAAAAACAAACAAAAACACCAAAAAACCATAAACAACTGCATTGAAAGAGAGCCAAGCTGAAAAGGCAAGTACTGAGTTCAGGTGATCAGCAGGGTCTCCTTTCCAAGGATCAGTGGATAATGTTGCTTAAGGAGTCATCAAAGGCATGCAGCCAGTTCTAGCCAGCTGCAAAATGTGGGCAGTATTACAGATGTTGTAGAGAGGGACAAAATAATAAAGAAAAACTTCACCTAAGTTTTTCTTAACTGCTTTCTGAGGGAAGAGCTTTGAAACTGAGGAGTGGATAGGGATGGATCATGGTGTATAGCTTGCTTTCTCTAGAAGGGATCTGCTACCAGAGGAAATATTTGGATTATTTTTGTAAAACAGCTCTAGAAGATTCAAATTCTTCTTTCTTGAGTGTTGATATTTGTTGTTTGATTATTCTTTCTTTAATCAACTTTGCTGAATATCACTATGCTTTTACAACCAATATTTAATTTGGTGATTGTTCATTAATTGTGTTGAAGTTCAGCTACAGCTCTTGCCAAGACAAATAAGAATTTCCTACAGGAAACAAAGACGGCAGAAATGAATGCTACTGGCAGAAATGTTTTACTGTGGATGTAATTAAAATCAGTTGACAAGGGTTGCTAGCTCATGCAGATCAGAAGTTTCCCTGCCAAATTGATGTGTGAGTCATTTTGTTGGTAACTGGTCAGGAGTGAAACGGAGTTACTCATCTTCCTATTTTGGAGAAAAAACAAACAGTTAATGTTCAGTGTGTGTT